GATGAAAAAGAAGAAGAAAAATGAAAATAATAATAGTAAGATTTTGAATACATCAATAGATATTTCTTACTTGTGTGATCCTCGAAATGTGGACCAAAGCCTGGTCTTTTCTAATCCTTTCCACTCTGCTGACATCCCTTCCGCCACTCCGCTTCTCGTTGTCAAAATAAAGATCAATGGTGTGATCGCTTGATTCTCTCTTCAATCCCGTGACCAGAATACATGAACAGACTGGTACTCTTTCTAGGCGAGGTTTCTTTCCCTCTAGGCCTTTTTTGTCATTGTTAACTTTATGCAAGAGTGATTCAAAGTCTGAAATAGATAATATGTGGAGAACAGTGATATTACCACGTGTGTAATTGACAGTGTAAAGATTTTGACTAGTTTTGACATAAAGAGCTTACCAATTTTTCAATTAACACACATGAAGATCGGTGTTTCCTACTGTAACTTGTAACTTCTATTAAAGATATATCAACCAGAACAAGGAACGAATAAAAGTGTTGTCCAAGGTAAATGTGGCTTGAAGTATAACAAAGTTTAGAAAAAATGGTTGAGAATGATTAAGCAATAAAAACACTCCAAAACCAGTACTACACCCTAAATTTGCGAGTCGCAACTGGATGTTTATTCACGTTACTTCTTTTTTTCTTTTACGCTTATAGTACTAAAATACTTCTTTTTGCATATGAATCAACTTCAAGAACGAGATAGCCATTATATTGTTATTTAGTCGAACCATCATAATTACCTGGTTCACTTTCAAAAACTGCCAGGGCATTATTCTTTACACCAAGATACACCTCTTCAACTTCAACATCAGCAAACTTTTCCAAATAAAAGGACAAACAATCTTTAGAGGTTGTTACGCTAAGTCCTTGAACATGAACTCTTAATGGATCAAGAGGCACTTTTTTCGGAGGAGGCTGTCGTATTACTGTTATTATGTGGCCGTCAATTTTGTGTGGCTCCTCGAGAAGGCGCTGCAGGTCTGTAATAAACATTACGATTTAAAATTTAACTGTAATCAAAATATTTAAATAAATACTACTTGTTTTCCTGAATTGTGTTGTGGATCTGTGAGCAAATTTGGACATTCTCGTCAAGAGAGAGCTCACCAGTCCTTGCTATCCATGCAGCTCAAAAAAAGTGCAAAGGATAGGGGGCTTACTTTTATACCACTAGTATAAAACCATTATATCCATATTACCTTTTCAAGCTAGTTTTTCAAAAAACTGTCAGCAAATGACTGGGCAAATATAGGTAACTCAGTAAACGGGAAGCTATCAATACGGTAATCTTCAAAAGTAACTTGGAGAATAATCTATCTAGCTTCGACGTAGGCGTACTAGGCTTGGCGCAGCTACCAAATGACTGACCAATATTGTGAGGCCACTTGTTGGGGACTCAGCCAATTTGAGAATGTTCTTATACCGCGAAAGAAATTAGATCGCAACTGATACATAGAAAAAATTCTTATCAGTTTATAAATAATAGTAAGTGACGGGTTGATATCCAAAGCAAACTTGCAATTTAAGCTGTTTAAGAAATTGAGTATCTCGGGAACTGCTGTAGTTGCAATATTAGTGACGATGAAGAACCTCTCGTCTCCCGTCACCAACCATCATGAGACCGAATTATTTCTCATGCATTAGCTTTGAACTTGTTTCCTTTTTCTCAAGAAAGACCTGAACTCATCAATAAATCTGTCACCTTGACGACTTTTCAAGGAAAGTACTATGTACCTTTCACCTCAGAGAAAGTTATCACTGCTTCCCCGCTATCTTTGTAATGGATCTCGGAGACATCGCCTCCTCCTGATCGTCTAGAATTCTCAAAGTAGAAAGTCACTGCATCTTCTGAGGTAGACGACGGGATGTCGCTAACAATAATGGTGATGCTATCTTCCTCGTCCAAGTCTTGGTCTTCTCCTTCGTTTTCACCGAATTCGTCAGCACTTTCATCCTCCTCCACAAACAGGGAGACTTGTAATCTTGCTCCGCTCAAAACGTGAGATGAATGATTTGTTGTCCTCTCTGCATCTAAAAGGGTTGAATTTAAACCTTTACGAACACTTTTTTGGAATAAAATATTAAATTTAATAACGTGAATTTTTCATCATTCAGCCTTACCATCAGGAGATTCAAAGGTGACCAGGCACTTTCGAAGTTCGGGTGTCATGACTACGGAAGACACAGGACCCCCTTTAGAACGTCTGACGTTTTCAAAGTAGTTTGTTACCAAATCCTCAGATGCACCATCTGGCAAACCAGTTACTTCGATTATGCAATGCTCGGGAATTGGAGATTCACTCTGGACTGATGCTGCAGATGCTGACTCCTGTGAGGAAGGAGGTTCTTCTGTACTGCTATTTCGTTGTCTGCTATTGTTTCGACAAGTGTCTTGATTTTCATACTGTTAAAAAGTGAAAAGTAATGGCTGTTTGACAAAGGGCTGGGCACCTCCACCCTTAGGAGCTATAGCATTCAATACAGATATTTTATTTGAGGCTGCTGTTTATCAGCGTAAACAAAAACAGAAGGAGAAAACTTTTGTATTCTTGTGCGCCAATTAGCACTGGCCCTTAATTGAGTTTTCCTGAATACAAAAATGTAAAGAAGTGCGAAAATTAACCAAAAACATTTCATTCATTGCGCAGCGCTAACGTATTTTGGGGTATGATCTGATTGAATAAGCTGATACATAATGAGGTGAGCATGCTGAAGTGTGGGCTTACAAAGAAGCCATGATCTCCCCTAGTTTTAAATCAAAGTGGGTCCTATTTTCAGGACCACTTATCTTCATCCCTCAACCGCAGGGAGCATGTACTTTCTAACAAAATGGACCCACCTCATCCAGTGAAGCTCTCCTCTTTTCCTCCAGTCTGGAGGATCTTCCTTGATGTTGGGGCATGCGAGTAACTTGGAGCGTACAGTTCTTAAAAGTGTGGGGTCGGTTCAACACTCTATCTGCGACTAGGTCATTTGCACATACAAAAAACATTAGATGTTAGATTGCACGACTTGTGAATGTCATTACGACCCCATGTCTATGGTTTTGAAATCAAGGAAGATTTGCACGCTTCCTTGTTCAGCTCTTGCATTTAGTGCACCTTATAGCTAAAAGCAGAGAATGATACTCTTCTTTCTATGTTTAAAGAGAATACCTAATCCTCTTTGTTAAATATTTTTGTGCGGCGAACGTTGCAATATTGACTGATTATTGAAATATGAAAAGTATGAATTTGGCCCCACACTCTTTTTGCGACTAGGTCAGTTGCAAATAATAATAGTAATAATAATCATAATAATAAAAACTAGTCGTTAGGTTGCACGTCTTGCGAATATCATTACGATAGGACTTGTCGTTGAGTCCTTATTCAAATTGATTCCGGAATAGATTTTAGAAATCAGCGGACTGAGTATGCCGGAAGTATAGATATCTTATTAGACGTTTTGCTATGTGTTATCGCTGAGCATTTAACGAATGGTGCCATATTTGGAAGAGCCCGTACTTCTTTACCGATTGGGGACAGTGTTTATACAGCGATGTATTGTAATTAGTTCACAACACAAGTGAAGCAACAGGATATGCACGTGGCCAAGTTCATCATGAAACTGATCGCGAGGGCGTCCGAGTCAAAATGCAAACAACGAGTTCAAATACTCACCAATACTACGCACCAAAACGTTTAATAAGTTATATATTATCCAACTGCTTTATCTTATATGCATTTCTTTCTTGTAAGGTGGGAAAGCGGAGCAAGCAGATAGAGAAGCGTAGCACACGTAGCCGACTGGTCATACAGGTTTTTTTTTTTTTTCACAACACAAAATAACAAACTGACCAAATATCGCGTGATATTTACACTCGATTTGCACGTTGTTTGTACTCTACTTAGTTTAGTTGGATAATAACAGTGAATGAGGCAGTTGTTACACGATGAAGTTTACTTTTGTGGTGTTCCTTGAAACGATAGTATTTCATATAACAAGTATTCTTGCTTCGAAGGCATATTTATAAACAATACACTGCATTGGTTATCTACTTCGATAAAAGAGGTTGCATCTGGCGACAGAAAACCCACAGGCATTGCCTTGCTATGAAAATTATATCAGTTTTTTTGAGATTTGAAGCTACTATTGCGTGTATTATCGGGCGAGGTTTTATAAATAAGGCAATACTGTAAAGCGAGCGCGTGAATTCCTTGCGGATTAATTCACTTACATTTACGAACCTTCGCAGAGCCTTTCTCCTCGCTAACCTTTTAAAGGTTTATGTAACTTCTTTTTCCCAATGCTCAATGCAAACAGAATTATGTGAAATACGAATGCACTTTCATACCGGCCTTAACCAGCGTTGAATAGAACATAAAATAGGAAGTTTAGTTTTGGTTTCATATCTGTTAAGCTTTTATAAGCAGTTTTTGTTTCCGTCATCTTCGGTCACTCTGCACTAAAGGTAAGATTACAACCACTGACGAAGTGAGAATATAGGAAGATTATTGACTAAACTCAAAATGATCTACCTTGCGCGTCTGTAAAGGTGATTCTGGCTGTTCTGCGATCAATTTCGATGCTTTCGACATCTCCTCCTCCAGATTCTCGCACCGATTGGAAGTATATCATTAGCGCTGTTTTGCTTGTTCCATCTGGAAAACCAGAGACTAAAATCCGTGAACTATTCATTTTAAGTTTCTCAAGATCGAAACATGTTTCTCTATGATTCAAAAGAACATCTTACGATCTGTAAGAGAGACGGAAATGCAAATTTTTCCAAGAAACGGGGTTTCCTAAAAAGTAGAAAGGTTTTATTTTCACAGGAGGCTGATTGGTTACCACCACTTAAGATGGTTCGCTATTGGCTTGTGAAAGCTGCACCCTGTTTGTTTTGTTACATATATGGTCATATGTTTCTCAGAAAGTTTTGTCATTGTCTAGGAAAATTCTGAGAAAAGAAAACGCTTCGGAAAGTAAAACTTGATTACTGAGAATTGTGTTTGCTAATGAAAAAAGCTGTAGCATATCAAGTAAATCATTTTAGTGCTTCTACCGCAGAATTCGTCTAGTTTTAGGTTTTAAAGTTCCTTACTGCATTGTTATCGCTTAATTACACGGGGATTCCCCAGATTGCGTGGCAAAATTTCATAACTGGGTTCGGCGTTTCATATGACCCTTTGTTTTGAGACGGTCTAGATTACCTTCTGGAAGATTCGGTTGAATCTCCTAACACAGCTTTGAGGGAAAGCGATTCTCCCGCAGATTCGACTCTTTATGGCCTCTGATCTATCCAGTTTTGTGGATGTTAGTGCAGAAGACATCCCAAAGAGCATCTTAGTTTCAGGCATTACTCCAGGAACCGAACGCGAAGCTATTGTTTTTCACTTTCAGCAGCATAAACATGGCGGCGGCGACGTATCATCTGTGAAATTCTCTCAAAATGGAGACAAAGCAGTGATTACATTTGAAGAGAAAGAGAGTAAGTTCATTTTGTTGCACAACTCTTCGCTTTATTGAATTATTCAGTGAACACTTGCATGGCAGAAATCGCATTTTTTTAAATTTGAAAGCGAATATGTTAAATATTAAAGTGCCAGAACGAAAGAAACACATGAGCCTTTCTTTCGCCGCTCGTGTAGTTTATAATTCGAAAAAATTTACTCAACCATTAGTTATGGGCTACTCCGCTAACGGAGTCAGCGGAGTCAGAGAGAAAAAATGTTCATGAAAGAGTAATTTACAGATGCAGCATTTAATATTTATCTGTCGTGTGATCGATGGTTTCAAAGAAAATTCAACCGTCGCACTGAACGGGAATGAATTATTAAGACGAAAAAGTGGGATGATAAGTTAGAAAGAAAGGGGAAAATTGTGCCCTCCTCCTAACAAGGCACAATAAATGCGCTTCATGTCGGATACACGGTGCTGAAAATGGCGTAAAGAATTATAAGATACGTTGATACTTTTGGATCTGTTATGCTAATTAGTAAAGGACAGAAAACTCTGCGAACCGTTCATAAGAAATTTTTATGTGTCTTTATTTCGTAGCTGTAGAGAAAGTTTTGAAAGGAGAACATAGGATTGAAGGGGTGCTGTTTAAAGTTGATCGGCTTTCAGAGAAAAGAAGACCAACATCCAACGAGGTGAGTTGTAGTGCGTACTCAATGCATGTGTCACGCAACGAACGCAGCTTTGCGTTACGATTCATGATTTATTTCATGACGTATTTAACCGTTTTTTTTTGGGCGTTTGTGTGCCTTTTTTCTTTCTCACCTTCTGGTTTGTTTTTCTTTCATTCTGTTCTGTTCTTTACGGCATGCGAGTTTGTTTGTTTGATTTTTCGACAATACAAGGTAACGTCTTCACACATGCTGCATAGTCGGCAACCAAATATGAGTTGATTAAGAATTCTTTCTGACAGTGGGAAGAAGACCAGTTGGAGCACGCTGACTCCTCGAGGCAATTATTCAGTTGTCACGGGGCATCATACATTCTCCTAAGCCATATAATTCTGAACGTATTCTAGTTGTAGGTTAAACCTCTATTGATTCCCTAATTAATTTCTACAGATATTTACTTACGTGACGGCAACGTTGGATCCCGTTGAGTTGGGTATTTCACCTCAGGAAGCCAAGCAGATTTTGGAAAACGTCAAAGAGGACATCGATGTATCTATCCAGTGCGATGAAAAATTGTTTGTTTTGACTGGAAAGCTGAAAGAAATCAATGAATGCCACTTTCTTGTGATGAGGTATCTAAGCGAAGGTCAGCCAGTCGATGCGCAACTGAACAACCTTTCTTTGGCGAGCAAAGGCGCAGAAGTCGAGAATGGGGGAGCAGGAAAGGCGCCAACAACGTCTGGAAGATCTGACGTTATCGTAGCTACGAGAGTCGATGAAAGTCCCGGAGCGAAGGTCATCCCTGTCAATGAAGTCAACGGCGCCGACCAGGAAGGACGTGTTCATCCCACAGTAGAGGCACGATGGTTTCGAGTAGATCCACATGCCTCCCGTTTTATGGAGAAGTTTTTTAAAAAGCAGTTAGATGAAATCAATGCAAAATTTATTGTGGAAATTACCGCTTCGGATGACGGTACTCGAGTTATACTTCAGGCTAAACAGAACTGTGATCCTGCAAAATACAACACTGCTTGCAGTGAACTTTCAGAACTTATTAAAACTGTCACCCAGGGTATGGTTATCAATGAACTGGACTTAAAAGGTGCAGACGAGGATTCAGCTAAAGTTTTAATGGATTACATTGGAACTATGTACCCAGTGATCATTGACCGGCCCCAAGAACACGGTCCGTTTTTTGTGTATGGTGATGCTGTATCTGTAAGAGAAGCCAGGCGAACTGTGGAAGGAGGAATGAGTCAACAGGAAAGTTATGATACTGGCCTTGGTACTCATGAAATGGCAATGGCAGCACCAGAAATGATTTCTTTTGAAACCTCTAGTTATCGATCAGAAAATGGTGTGTGTATTTCCCTTCGTTATGGAGACATCACTGCCGAAGAGGTTGATGCAATCGTGAATCCTGCGAACGAATTTTTGTCCCACTTAGCTGGCCTTGCAAAGCTGATCGTCCAAAGAGGTGGGCTTAAAATTGAAAGGGAATCTGACACGTTGATGCGAAAACGCGGCTATCAAGCGCTTCACATTGGAGACGCTGTACCTACAGTCGCTGGAAATCTTCCCTGTAAGTTTGTCATTCATGCCGTTGGTCCCGAGTGGGTTAAACACTCACATACAGAAAATATGAAACTTCTAAAGAAAGCGTGCCTCCAGAGTCTTAAAGTGGCTTCTAAACTCGGTTTATCATCCATTGCCATACCAGCAATTAGTTCCGGTATCTTTGGTGCCCCTATTGATGTGTGTGCCTTTGCCATGTTAAACGCAGTGGAGGAGTATCTCAGGATGCCGACGGTAACAAAGAAAGAAGATGCAAGGAAAAAAGGGTCAAAACAAAGTAACCAGAAACACATACAAACAGATAAAAAGGAAATATCGACGAAGCCGCCGAAAGACACGCCAAGCGAAATTACCGATGAAGAAAAGGAGAGAGAAACCCCAAAAGCCGTTCTAAACGATATTCGTTTTGTCCTCATTGACGCCGACTCAATGGATGTCTTCGAGAAACAGTTCATCGAAAGATTCGGTGATGTTATTACTGATGACTTTGGTGATGTCGATGACGAACATGATGATGAGGAAGTTTAGCGCGAGAAAATCGCAATTCCAATCTTAAATTAGACTTGAACTCGTAATGGGAACTGTCACTGGGGAAACATTACTTCAGCTAACGTTCTTGATGACCATTTTTCCTTCCTTGCTATGTGACATGACTGGAAATCATGATATCGCCGGAAACACTTTATTATCCTCATCAAAAAGTGGCTAGTGCCTAGTTTAGATAGTGTAATCCTAAGGAACAGTCGTCCATTCTATCACTGACATGGGCCATTTGAAAGGTCATGGGATAATGGTAATTTTTGTGACTTTATTTGTCATTGGATGCCCCATTGATTGGTGATCGCCAAACATGTTCCCTTTTCTAAGCTTGCAACTGGTTGTATCTACTTTGTTCAAGCCGCCCTGAATTCTGATCGCTATTGTGCTGTCCCCTTAGTTACTCAATGTGTGTGAACGCTATTTTCAAGGTGCAAATGCGTGTGCGAAAGCCCCTTTACAGCGTTGAGATACTCACCTTTTGTCGAATGAAAAAAACACTCAGAGACAAAACACACTCAGAGATACCATGATGAAGTTTAATTGGCTCAAAAGTTTACATTACTGATAACATGTCTTCTAACTATATATTTATTATATGTCAACAGAAAACCGGAGTTCGAAAGATTTGCCTTCTCCCCCACCCACTCAGCCAATAACTCAATGCTTCCTGATAAGAAATGAGAAATTTTACACATTTAACACTCCTGAAAAGTCCATTTCCTCCAGTTTTTTTCCTTTTTTTCAGGTCCACGTCTTGACATTTAAAATTTCTGATAAGGAAATTTAAACAACGCTTTAATTTTTCCCTAAACAACCTTATTTCATTTGCTGGTTGAAATATCACTTCCTTCCAACTGTTGAGCGGCTACCGCATAGTCAAAAACCCAAGAGGAAAGAAAGGCGATTGTGTTCATTTACATCCGTCAAATGTAAGTAGGAATAAAAGGAAAAGTACCGAACAAAACAAACAAAAATAAAACAAAAATTGCGAGACTTCTTAAACTGAAGAATGAATTAGGGTCGGTTTTTAACAGAGACGCGTGTGTAACAGAAACACAAAGCGTGTAAAATTGTTAGCTTTACCGAAATTGTTGCCATGTTCATTGGTTCACTGACAGTTAAGACGGACGCATTTTAAAGAGCTAGCAGATCATGAAAAATCTAGGCTAACAACTGATTTAGACGTCATGCTGCATTTTTCAGTGTATAATAATGAACAAGAGTGGGAAAGTTTCTAAAGAAACTGTGGTTCCGAGTCGGTGGGAGAATATAGGGCTAACGCTCGAAACGTCAGCTTTTTTACCCTTTACGGTGGCCAATTTACGTTTTCAACTCAGTTGTTAACACTAAATTACCCGCTATAATAATGAACAAGTCTTTTCTATTTTGTAAACTGTCCAACTACTTTTGAGATCGTGATTGGTTTGGTCATCGTCCGACAAAACCAGGTTATTGCAGGTTTCGTCTAATAGCTTTCACGACGGGGGTGATGATGTTATTGTGGTACTTGAAAGGAAGAACGGACAGGAAGCGATGACTGATTGTCCACGCGTGCCCATGTTGTTGTTGTTGTGTTGTAGCTGCTGAGTTCACTAAGTAGGATGATAACTTGATAGTTAAGAAAGAAAGAGGAATGTCTTTTCCTCTCATCAATGCACCGTTGCCATAGGTGAGGAACCGTAAGCTGTTAGTGTACACTTGCTAAGACATAACGGTTTATTCAATACATGAAATTTTATGAAGGTAAAAAATTAATCCTGCAGTTTTTAGGCCCCATAGGGTGATGGTTTTTACGACTAATAGAAAAAATTTTTTGCCATCACAGTTCAAAGAAATTTTTCACGGTTAACCTTTATTTACAACTAAGGATTAAAACCTGTCAATTTTTAAGGCTAACGGTATATTTTTAAGCAGTTTTACGGCTAACGGTTAACCCCATCGAGACCCTCTGTTATGCCTGTCCCGATTGCATGTGCTCGTAAAAAGTCAGAAAGTTACGCACTCGGATCCCAAAAAGGTTGCTAAAACCTGCCAATAATAATAAAAAAAGAAATTATATCTAAATTTCAAAAGTTGTCAATTAAATTTCTTGATGTTTAAATTGAAGTGTTAATTAAAAGATTTATTATTTATTCTTCATTTTTTTTCTTTGCCTTGTTTATTCATGAAAACGTCGGGAGTGTATCTCTTCAAAGACGTCTTACCTATTTTACGTATAGGTTGTGGTCGATCCCAATTATTATTACGTTATTAGTTACAATCCATGGGTTGATAAGCGTTAAATAATAAACAGGAAACCGCTCTTCGAAGAATTTCATTTTCAATTAGTGGTAAAGTGAACTTTTTTATAATTGTTGAACTTTGATCTGGAATTCTAGGAAGCCGGATACCGCAAATTTGAACCAAGATTTATAGAAGGTTAGCCGCTAGTGGTAAACCTTCGCTATGATGTTATCGCCACAGAAGCAAGATGACGTGAAACTAGAGATAATGTATCAAGATTTGTCTTATCGACAAGGTTATACAATTTCTTTACCGAGCGAGTCTCTAGTCACCAGTTGAGTCGTTCGTTTTCAAAAAAACAAGCATTCTTGTACGCGGTATAAATGCATGTGCATTAATTTTTTTAGTGTCTGACTCTGTCGGCAATAACACTTTCGCTATGTACTAAATAACCCTAGAAGGTCGCGGAATGTTGAAAACGCACCATTTTGAAAGCTCTGAACGATAGAGTTATAGCTTTCTCAACGGAAAGCTTGTAAATCTCTGATATGACTGCTGGATTAGGTAACTTTCACAAGTAAAGCTTTTTAGTGCCGCAAAAAACTGATTAAAACATCTGACTCGTCTACTGAAGCTGTTACCATGTTTACCCCAGTAGAAATTTCTGTAATATTTTACGCAGGAACACTTAACTTAAGGTGATAGTTTACGTACATTGAATTGACAGGCGATGTTCCTAGTTATCAGTTCACATGATACGTACTGCGTAATTCTCTACTCTTTGACTTCCTCTATATCAAGCTTAACAGAACTTCAGACTATGAATTAAACCTTCAGATGACTCTACTATTTACTGTTCTGATTGACGCCGTATTTTGACACTTGGTTGAGTGTCCAAGGTTTGATTTATCTTGTTCCAATGTGTTCAGCGTCAAACAAGTGGATCATTGCCGGTCGATCAGCTTGTTAACCGAATGGGAAGAATCACTTCATTTGCAAACTGGGCGAGAAATTGGTTGAGATGATTACATCAGCTCTTTCCTACAAGACATTCCCTCAACTCTGGGCTGAAGCAGGCAGAGAAGGCGAGTGACCTTAATCAATTAAACGATAGACAGAAAAGGAATATTTTGCCTTCCATGGCCATGTAATTCCCTTTTATGTGTTTTTTTTTGTGAGTTAGTTAGTTAGGACTGAAATTAATTCTCGGGAATTCGGTGGCACCGCAAGAAAAAAATGTGACTCTTAAGCTACGATATCAAGCCTGCTGAAATAAGACTTGAAATAAGACTTGAACCTCCCTATTTTCAGCCCTTCTTGTAATTGCGCAAAAGAGTTCTAAGCCTGCTCAGCCGACTAGTAAAGAGGGGAATTAGACAATGATCGATATATGCGATAAAAAGCATTCAAATCAGTAAAAATAACAAGGTTTTTGTTTATTTTCCTGAGAAATGAGTTTAACAGTTTAACTGCACTAGTTATCAAAAGTCACGAGCTCTTCGACGCATGGAGCATACAGTTACTGTTTGGTTTCCAAATTGGCCAGTAGTTCACAAAGTTACAAGTTCCCCACGTTAAACCGAGGGAGGGGAAATTTTTGACAGTGTCTGCCTTCATATTTATAGAGATAAAAGACTGACAATAAATCTTTTCTCAAGCTGAAAGCACCATCGATTTAGTCACACACGACGCCACAAACAACACTCAATGGGAAATTGTATATGTAATACTCTTTGGAGATTCATAAGCTCATGTCAAGAAGGTCTTTTTGTAAACAATTATTGAGTAAGAAGTAGCTCGAGTGATTGATTATTAATTTTTACCAACGTTTGCAAAATATATGTAGCCAGAATTGTTATTTGTGATAGTTTTCATGACATATCACAATCAATATTTGGTTCATCTAAATCCTACTGTTCAGGTGAATTTTCTTTTCAAATCGTGATAAGTTTAGTATCCCCTAACTGCCATCGCAATGCGCAAGATTTTCTTTTACATATTTTATTTGTGATTGTATGTTTTAGACTCGGCTTCTGTCTCTTTGTCGATGATCAAGAATTTAGTGATCAATCCCTTTGAACTGATCATGTATCGAGATCAGCAAGGCACACAACAATTGATTGTATACTTTGCTACAGGCCACTGGCTTTGTAGCTCACCCTGTTGGCTTGTGTTCACACGATGAAGTATTCAATACTTGTCATGAAATACTGTTTCCATTAAAAGAAAACAATTGGAGATCGTAATTCCTACGAGATGACTAGTTGGACCTGGTCTATCGAGGACTATTCATGCATGCTTAAGGTTGGCACTATTTATTCTAAGCATCTGTCTCACTTAAGACCTAGATTCTTAGAAGAATCCTGCTCTATTTGAAACTTACCAGCTACCCTTATTACTTCTTGGTTGATGCCAAGTAAGCAACAAGTTCTGAATAAGAGTACTTGAGCTCACGTTGCGCTCCGTACTTGAAATACTTACTGAACATTGATTATGCGAACACGTCTAATCTATTGTAAAGAAATCTTTCATATCAGTCTAAGTTTTCATCGAAACTCCGATTAAATGAAGAAGTACTAGCATGATTATTGAATGTGAACCAGTCAAATGTTCTGCATTTGTCCTTTCTCGTAGGCATATAAATATCGTTGGCCTTCAAATGTGGCAAGTGTTGGCTTGCTGTAATTTGAAAAATTCGAACTGATCAAATATGTAAATGGCGCTCTTTTCTCTTCACGTTGCCACTGAAAAACGCCAAGTGGAGTTTACAAGTTGTGTGATTGATGTACATTGAAGTTATGACTTATGATGTCATACGTAAGGAAAATTTGTTTATACCAGTTATAAACTTGACGAAGACAATGTTCAATGATTGACTTTTGTAGAGGAACCTATATAAACTACAAACTCAGTCACCGAATAAGTGCCTGCCAAAGCAACGATTTCTCTCTCAAATTCTCCCAAAAAGTCTGATCGGAAAGTCGATTCTTTACACAATCTCTTCAGTTCCGCCATAATTGATTGCCAGCAATCATGTTGATTTCCCCTGCGTTGTTTTGGGAGGAGGTATGGAAACACAGAAAGCCGGGGGAACTGAGTGAATTTAAGTGGATTATCTGAATAAAACCAAAAACA